TCAAAAGAAGTTGAAAAGCACAGAAAATAACGATTTATCGATACTGTATTGATATTTGTAGCCAAGAGGATACAAAGCGATTTTTAGCATTGTTTTTTAATTTAAATAAATTAGCTAGCTCATACAGACAAGTTGAGTGCGAAAAGTGCGATAGTGCAGAATATCAATATTAAAATTAAGTTATTCAATATGGTATTGAGAGATCTCGATATTGTCATCGACATGTCAAAATATATCACACTTTTCCTCTCTATATATATCCATACAATCAATCAAGTAATTACTAATTTATAAGCTTATCTAAACTAATCTTTAACTCTCTAAATATTTACACATTATTCATATTTAATTAGGTAATTATTAAAGGACTCACAACCTCTAAAAATCTAACTTTATTTCTATCGTGTCTGACTTCACTCTCTTCTTAGTGCTAAGTTGACAAAATAAAATCAAAAATTATTTCGGAAGCAAATGAAGAAATTTTTCATTCTATCAAATTACAATTCAATTGCCTTCAGTGGCATGTGTTGTCCTGAAGCTAAAAAGCCTCGCCTTTGTAGCTCGGCTCCCGCTTTCTGTTCCTGCTTTTCCCCTCAATGCAAACTCAAACTCACAGCTAAGCAAATGTGGATTCATTTCAGTTACGACAATAGAATACTCGGCCTTCAAATAATTGGTAGCACATATATAAAATGTATTATTTATATATTTTATTTATGATTCTGACAGTCAATTTTTGGTGTGAAGATATTTATTATCTATGGACCTATGGAAGAATCTTGTTACCAAGACTCTCATCTAAGTTTTGTATAGTTCCCTCTAATCCCATATACCTTTCCTATCCTTCGACTACCGGGTATCAAAGTACACAAACACACCAGGACTCCACACACACATAGATTACAAATCTAATAATCAGCTTGCCAGCTAACGAATGGGAAAATGTTGATGGTGGAAATGCGAGGTGGAAAAGCCCTGTGGAAAGAGAATTGTGAGGTAGAGTTCAAGGGGGCACAAGAGATGGGGGAAATGCGGTTACTGCTGCCGGTGACATTTGAATTTTTGGCCATTTTAGCGCAAATTTCTTCATTCTTTTTTCATTTTGCTTTGTTTTGTTTGTTGTTGTTACTGTTTATTTGTTTCTGTGCTACCCTACTCATGATTGTTTGGTTGGATTTGGTTTCGTGAGGCTGGTGCTCCTTTCTTTTCTCTCAATTCGTGTGCTCTTTTGCCAGAAAATAACGTGACATGCATAAATAATTGACTTTTCACAAAATGCGCCATGGCAGCGGTAACAAATACACAAACAAACAAAGGCAGTGGGAACAACAACAATAACAAATGCGAGCTGGAAGAGGCGGAAATGAAATATGGCGGAATGGTAAAAATGGCGAAATAGTGAATGCCAAAATGGCGGCGGCCATATTGTATTTGTAAGCGAGAGAGAGAGGGAGAGAGAGAGCGCGCATACAAAATGCCATAAAATATTTATTTGCAATGTGAAAGCAGCTGCCACATGACGAAGGAAAAAGCCCGATGAACGAGATAAGAGGGAAAGAAAAAGAGAGGTCCAGGATCAGCTATATAAATAAATATATATATTTTAGAATCAGCCGAAATGGCACATCCACTTCGCCATTGATTTCCCTGCTCTCCAAATATTGTTCCTGATTGACAATTAATCAACTAAATGGACCTGTTATTCTTACCACCTATATAAACAAAGTATTCTCTGGAAATGAGAACACAATGCATACTCATCTAAATGGACAAATCAATTTGCCAAAATGAAAGCCAAACAAATTCGAGATATTGGCCAACAACAAAAGGGCAAACAGAGTGGAAAAAAAGGAAAATTCTAGCGGACTATGAACTGAAGTCCCAACTAAAAGCATAAATATTTAGACAGAATCTATTTTATATAAATAAACAGAACCACCAGTTGTTGGTCAAAGCATTTACAACATTGTTAAAGGACGATCGAGTACGAAATTGAAGAGCATATTGGACAGTATTCTGATATATTTTAACTTAATAGATCAATTTAAAGCTTTTTAAAATTTTATGCACATTGGCGGGTTTCTTTTATAAAGGATAAAGGATATTTTAACATTTATTGATACCGAAAATATGTACATTTTATAAATAATGTTATTTAAATCTTTATCAATACGTATAATATATGATCAATTTTATATCAACCTTAAAATATACTTCTCTAATTTAATACCCAACTTTACCCATAAATATTCCTTAAATGTTTTCCAAAAACAGAGCTTTAAAAACCTTTTCTATAATCCCTACAATGTAAATGGGCAACCATCGAGTCTGGCCCATATTTTTAGTGGCAATTTTTTTCGACAATTTGTCGCAAAGTTGTGCTCTTTTCTCTACCGCTTCTGGTTTTTATGGTCAATTTATAAACTCGGCTTCGCTGCGAAAGTGAACGAACAAATACTTTTACTTCCATTGTGCCTCCATAATAATTTATAAGCCATTTCTGTGGAACTGTTGCTGTTTTCTGGCACTTCTGGTAAAGCATTAACTCACATGGAGCAGGGGCAGGCGAAGTCACTTTTCGAATGGTCAATTTGTTGGCGGCCATTTGGAATTATTAATGGGCGGGCTTTGTTAGTTTTTCCAGGGGATTGGGGTATACAGAAAGGAATAACCATTTTCTGGCAGAGTAAATTCAATTTTGGTTAAAATGTTTTCAATGTAACTGCTTGCCTGGAGTCCTGTAATTGCATATGGTGTGGTGACATATGCCAAAAATGTGACTGCAATTCAAGAAAAGGCTAAAACCAGGATGGAGAAACGAGCAGTGAGCCTCGACGAGACACGAGATACATTTTTGGGTGGACATTTTGTGCAGTCGAAGGACTTGAAATGTCTGTGCATTGTCCTTTCGGTGTTTTGCCCCGTTGTGTTGTGTACTTTATGACTTGTAGTCACTCGAGATGTCCTCCTGCGTCCTCCCTCTCTTTTTTTTCTGTGGCATTTCAAAAGTTTTTGCAGGCAAACATTTTCAACATTGTAGTTGTTGCTGCTGCGGTGGTGGTGGTTGTTGCTATTTGGGTTTTTAGCATGTGACGCCATTTGTGGCACAGTCTGGCAAGAGCCCCCACATCACCACTTCCTTCCATCACATGGAAACTACGCAAGCTGAAAGCAAAAGCAAAGGCAAGAGCCCAAAAACCCAATAGCACTTTTTACCCACACTCCTTAAGTAGAAATGGAACCAGAAAGGATCTAGAATTCTTAGTTCTAAACCCACACACACACTCCTGTATCCTTTTTCCCTATATGCCTTAAATCCTGTGAGTTCTCAAGTGTTGAGAGAACATTGCTGTTGTTGTCGTTGCCTTTTCTATTGTTACTTGTCCATACCCTAGAATAAAAGGGATTATACACACAAGTTCCGGATGGACTCGAAGTCTTAATTAAATTAAACTGTGTTTAAGGTATTAAAAACCAAGAAAACCTATTAAAATCTATTTCTGAAAATGTTTGAAATACATTTTTATTTAGTAAAAGCTAAGGACAAAATATTTCTTCACTAAAATTGGTAAAAGAAAATATCATAAAATAACATAAAGACATAATACTTCATCCCTAAAATTGGTAAAAGAAAATATCATAAAATTTCCACTTAATCAAGGGACCAAGAGCATTCACTTATCCTTTTTAAGGACTCCCTTCCAGGGTGCTAACCAAGTCTCCAAGTTTGACCAACCTTTTTCACTTATTTGCTGTACTAGTCACGGGCTTCCGTTTTGTTTTCCTTTCCGACTTGGACAGGGACGATGTGGTGGAAAATGCCCAACTTCTGCCAATGCCTTCAACCTTACCCACCTTGGTAGGGACTTGGGAAAAAGAGGAGGAAATTTTTTGCCTCCGCTTCACCGCTTTGTTTACGACCAAATCCAAAACAATGGCATTTTTGCACATGAGCGCATTCGAGCCAAGTTCTGCTGGCTGTCGTCATACACTTAAACTAAACTTTTTCAGCTGCAGAACCGAGCTCTGCCCTGCTCCTTCCGTGTGACTAAAAGTCTTCCTGGCCTCGACTTGTGCTGCATATTTAATCCTTTTTTCTCCTGGCTCCCTCTGGCCAGAAGTGAATTATTACGGGCATCTTTCCGGCTCAAACCGAAGGGTGAGAGGGAAAATGGATATTCCAAGGAGAACGAGTCAGAGTTTGCTCCTTTGGAATTGCAATTGCCCGAATCATTCGACTCATTGGCTTGCCATTTCTTCTCATTTTACTTTTTTCTTGCACTTTTCCCCAACTCATCTTTGTTTGCTGTTCGCATTAGTAATACAAATTGCACGGGAAAAGTTCAACAAACTGCATTAAAAATGGAGCAAATACAAGGATTGAGAGAGGGCTTGTAAAAAACCAGAACACATCCAGGCTGATGGTAAAAAATGTGCTGTTATTTGGGTCCAAACTCAGGCTGTTTTTTATTGCCATTTTATTGATTTAATATCTGTGCGATTTAGGGAGTTTGTGTAAGGCGAACTTTCTTCCAAAAAGGTTAAAGGAATTTATAAGCTGAATAATTTGGAAAAATTAATGCAATTTATCAAAGAACTTGCAAGTAAATAAATTTTGTAAAGTGCTTGTCAAATAAGAATTTAAAAATTATAATATTGCATAGCTAGTAACTCTTCTTTAGAGTCAGGAAATATTAGAAACTTAGGAGAAAATTCATTGTTTCACCAATTAAAAATCATAAATATATAGTTATATACTCTATTTATTATCTTTTATAATCGAATATAGCTCAAACTTAATAGAATTTTGATTTAATGTACAAAAAATACAGAAACAGTTCTCATAAATTCCATTAAACTTCATATATCATAATATTTATACACCATATACTATTAATTGAGTTTATATTCAGTGAAATCACAATGCGAAATTGAATTTATGGGAAATGCATTAAAAAACAAGAAGGTAAATAAATATTCGTGTTTAAAAATCAACTTACCATCGATATTAATTGGCGGAACCGCAACGCACTTTTGGATGATGGTTCGTTCCGATTGGTTTGCCTCAATTCGTTTTTGCTTGATGCTGGAAAAAATAAAATAAAACAAAAAAGCCGGAAAAAATCCGAAATGGAAATATGAATAAATTGATTTATGACGGCAGCAGGAAATCGATGAATCAAATGCACGGTTAAGCAATAAAGCCAAAGCTGGCCGTTTAATAAATGTCCCGACTGGATAGGCTATCATCGTCTATGGGGATATATAACGATGATTACACACAGGGCAGGGAATCAATAAGGGAGGGGACAGTTAAGGCTAACGAGTTTATATATTTCACTTAACGTTCTAAGACTTTCGTATTAAGAAAGCATTTAAGTTATCACAAGCAATCAATCTGAACGGGAGACCTTAATTAATACAATTCCCCTTTTTAAGCTCCATCTTCAACCCTCTTAAGCCAAGACCATTATTTAACAATACCATTTTGTGTATTTATTGACTTTATCGAGTGTCAAAAATAGCATCACAATCAGCAGAGCTAATAAAAACACAAACATCAAGTTGGCAAATAAAAACCTCCAGCCAAAGGACGAAACCACATCGAATTTCGAGCACTAAATCAAAAATAGAAAAAGCAGTGGGGAAAACATTATGAAATCAGCGAGGCTCAGTCCCCAGTTGCAAAAGGAAAAAACTTTTGGCAAAGGAGCATTACTTGGAAGTATACTTATGTCATATTATTGACGATGATGGCAAATGAGGCGAAAGAGAGGGAACGTGCCTGTCTGTCAGCAATTTCATCAGCTTAAACTGATGACAGTTGAAAAATGTGCTACGATTTTTTTTCTTTTACTCTCTTTTCCCATTTTCCTGGCTGTTTTTTTTTTCTATATTTAAAAATACATAAAATGGCGGTTGACATTTGACAGGAGGAGAGAAAAACTCGCGAGAGAAAGGACACACAGAGGGAAATATTTACTGAGAGTTTTAAGGAGAGTTAAGGAATATGTATTGCTAAGAAAATTTATATTCAGCATTTACAAACATTAAATTAAATTAAATGTATGCTTTATTTATTTATATTTCTTATAAGAATTATATTTCTTTATATGTTTCCAGTTTAAGTTATTCATGAATAAATTTCTCTTGAAGGAATTTAAAGTTTTACTTCCTTTCAGTGTACTGAAAGACCTAATTATTCGAAATTCAACTTTAATATTAATAATTCTTTAAATAAAACAGTATTCTAGTTATGGTTTTTTTTATTTATTTAAGTGCATATGGCTGTCAATGACGAGTTCCCTGTTAGGCTATGGAGAAAGGCATTCAGAGGCAGCTGCGTGACATTTTGCAAAGTGTGCGACCCTTCAGCCTTATGCAAATGACTTGCGCTGCCTTTGGTTTTGGTGTATTTTCTTTTTTTCTCTCTTTTAGGAAGACCCTAGTACTGGTTTCCGAAAATCAAACAGTAAATCGAAAGCAAGCGCCGCAGGTGTCCTGTGACATTCAAGCCGGGCGTTTGTGCCACAAAGTGTCAAGCATATCAGACGACAAATCGGCCACAAACAGTGTCAAATATTGCCACCACAGAGGCAGGCCACTCTCGAGTCACTCAAAATCAAAGCATCACCCACATAACCCCGAAAGGAAGCACCTCCCACAGTGGCACTTTCAGTATCCTACCGCAAGTGGGAAAGTTATATCCTGCCCCATACCCCAGTAAAACTTTGCACATGCCGGAACAATTTGCTTCGGACCGGAGACAAAGCCTTCGGCTGATGCTGTCCTCTGCATAGCAAATATTGCTTGTAATTTAATTAATCTCCCACGAAAGTATGAAAGTTTTGACCTGAAGCTAATGGGAATGGGAATGGGAATGGGGATGGATTGTGGGATTAGCACAGTAAACTTTCTCAAGCTGGAAAAACTATGCGTGGCTTATGCAATCAAGCTGGAGTAGTGCAATGGAAATTGTTATTGAGAGAGAGAGCTTCTATAAAAAATATCAGTAATTTTATAATAGATTATATTATTTTATGAAAACCTTAAATTAGGCATTTTGAGTTATGATAAATATTAATTATCAGTGCTTTAAGGGAATACCATATTAAGCATATGTCAAAGTTGAAAGATATCTTTTCTTTTCTCTTGGTTAAAGTTAAAAACAATATGAGTAAAATTTATTGGATTTATTTTTCACTCCAGATTACTTTGACCGATTTCCGATTTCATCCTTTAATTAATTTGCAAACTGCAAACTCAGCTTCCCTTCTTCGTTTCCTTTCTTGTTTTTAATTAAACTATTTACCATGGTATTAACACCACATCTAATATAAACATTTCAATACTTTATTTACTTTATTTTGAAATTCATAAATCTCTCAAAATCAAATATTTGTTTTGTTTAGCCCACTTAATGAGCTCTCACTGTTCCTGCATAAATTTTTGGATATCAATTAAATGCTAAACACAAACACAAAACATGGGCGTGTTGGGCAGAGCGTTGAAAATCTATTAGGATGCTAGGCGAAAAGTTTTCCCAATTTTGCCACGCAGTTTGATTAATTTTAAGACAATAATCATAAAGGAGGTTCATTCAGTCTGTCCTGCTCGCACCCGCTTTAATGCGTTTACGTGCCTGCAAGAATCTCTATAGCATACTTATCCGGGCGGCGCTCATAGAGAACCCAGGCACGTCTCCTTCTCCGTAGTACGAGTATTCTCTCTCCTTTTCCTTTCCGGGTTAGTTAATTTCGCCGCCTCGAAGGCAGGAACTTTAAGTCGATGGAAAACTTAATCAAAGTTCCTTACGGCTACCCGTACGTAGGTCTGGAGCACAGCTCCTTCGTTTGGTCCTGCAGCTGGGAAAGTTTCTCTTTCGGGTCGGTTGGGTTCGGCTTGGTTTGGTTTTTTGGCCCAAAAGAGTTTTGGGCACGCAACACTATGGCCAATGGCTTCGTTAACTCGTTCGGGGGCTTCCCTCTCGGCTTTATGTTTTCACCTGGCCAAACGGCTTGCGTGTTTGGATGTTATTTATAATATGCTAAGCTCCCTGCTCGCTTCTCCTTTTTGGCCACGTCTGCAAGCTCGCCGGAAGCCTTCAACTTGACCAAGGCAACGGGGCAAAATAAGGATAAAATGCACTACTACAAGATCTTACCCTGAGAAAGACTGATAAGTTTTGCTAAGTGGAAAATACTCCTTAGAAATTTTATTCTATCATTTATCATATATGGTTGAACTTGAGGCAATTTGTTTCTAGTTTTATCTACAGGTTTTTAATGGTCAGTCGTTTGAGATCATTAAATTGGTTATTCAAAAACAAATTAAATAATTATTTATTCATTACCCAATTTTTTACAGTGCTCCACACCTTGCTTTTCCCTTTAGCCGCCCCTCTGACGGAGACTCTTCAATGGGTTTTGCCTTTGTGGCGTTTAACTTTTAATTGGATTTCAGTTTTTGGCTTAGTTAATTGCTAAATGAGTTCAACACTCGCTCCTGTCGCTCCTGTTGTTATTGTTTCTGGTGGTCTGTGCAAAATATTAGCGCATAATTTCAATAATTACTTCCACCGACTGACCACTGAAAACCCCATCGCCTGGCCCTTGGCTGCTTAATCATTTGCATATTTCATTCAACGTTTCACTCGGTGTTCCTTTGAATAATTATCCTGCAAAATGAGGAACTCTTCTAATTTAAGCTGTGAGTTTAAAAACTTGTTTAGGTTTAGGTTTCCCATTGAGCAGACGGAAATCCCTACTTTAACTTGTTTTAATTTAAAGAATCTTCCTGGATAGCTTTCCTCCATCAAGGGTCAGTTGATCCCTTGGCTGCGCACATTTCGGTGAATAATTTCCATATTAGGTTCATTGAAATGGATTAAAAGGAGCTATAGGAAACGAAAGAAGAAAAAAATCGAGAAAATTCCTCACTCAGCTTAACCAAAAATTTCTTAACAAGCTAAATGCCAAATGCCACCCACAGAGAGAGAGTCATTCCACCAAAAATCCGAATTGAACCTCTCATCTTACCCACCCGGAACACATTCCGACCCGTATCGCCCGTGTAAACACATTCAGCGCCATCAACAATTTATCACGGCAAACTGAACGAAATCTCATTTGCAAAAAGAAGTCGGAAAATTGAGCGGGGGAAAAAGTTTACCAATGTTTTCCAAGGGCCGGGGCAGCCTCCAGAGCTTGTCAAACTGTTTGGTTGAAAAGAAAGGAAAATAAAATAGAGAGGAAAAACCCGAAAAAATAAAACATGACCAGACGGAAGCTGCGACAAAGCAAATTTATGTTTTGGGGCAACAAAAGCCAGGAAAAGCGAAAGGAAATGCGTGCAAAAAAGGGTTCTGGGGAGTCTGGAAAGTTGAGGGAAATAAATAAGGAAATAACGTTTAACTTTCGCCGTGGCGAGGGGCAATCAAATTCTACAAGCTGCGCCTGGGGAGAGGTTTCCATCTCCTGGATTTCTTTTCTCCCTGCCTCATTTATCAAAATCACCAGAAGAAATAAAGAAATATGAGCGTCGACTCGGGCAATTTACAATGCTGATCCCAATATGATTGCCAAGCGGAAAGAACTACAGAGAGAGAGAGAGTGAGAGTTGGCTAAAAAATATATATATTATATCCTTTTTGCCTTTGTCCTGTGGCATTGAAAAATGAAAAATTTCCACCAGGAGCCAAAAAAACAAAGGGAGAGAAGTCAACAAGCAACGAGTGGATGCAGGCACTTAAAGGAATGTGTCACCTAGCTCCCTCACATCCTTCGTATAAATCGTCCTTTTTGGCCACTGGCAAAATTGTTGCAGCCAAATTTACGCAAACATTTGGCTCTGGCAATCTCGAGACTTTACGGGGTGACTCAACTTGGACTCTCCTCCGGGAGAGTGTGTCTGTGTGTCCTGGGTCTTTGTCTCGGTCTGGTTAATGGTGCACAAGGACTTTAAACTTTTTTATTGTCAACTGAAAAGTTTTGGTCGCTACCATCTCGTTTATGCGTTGCATTTTATTCAAGAATTATACAATTTTAAAGATGGAAATGTGAGAGATAAAAGTGGAAGAGTAACTCT